AGTTTAATTTAAAAAAGTACTTTCAGAAAGATATATTAATTTATGGTCCTTTATAGGAAAGTTAAATCTCTCCATAAACTGTTCAATAGATGAAGTATTAGGAAATCATTTTGCTTTATTACCTTTCACTCAACACACCTAAGATCAGAGTAAAAGCTTTCTTTTCAGATCTTTCCCACGTAACATCTTTTTCCTGATTTACAGTGCAAATAATCTGCAAGCTGCTCCATAATGTAAAATATAATATTCAGAAGGGGCAAAGGGAGAGGTTGTGAAATACTGCCTGTGGAATCCCTTCTGTTGAATTTTAGATAGATAATTTGTTCAGAGCTGCAGACGATGACAACATTTTTTCTATAATAAAAACTTTACGTGCATTCAGTACACGTATCAATATAGTAAACTGTAATCTGTGCTCGCATTCACACACATCTCTGAGGTAGTGGTAAACTAAGTTGCCTCCTCATTCTTTTTGTAGCTTAATTGTCACGGTTTGTGATCCCATCTCAGGCTCTTGATGTGTTTGTACCTTGAACACATCATGGATTATTTGTCATGCTATTGACAAGCACTGACACTGAAACAAAATTGCGTGGACCATAACTGACTTAAGGAGATGCCACATATTTAAATATCATTTTCAACACAGGTCACTAATTACTTTCCTGAAATCAGCCTTTTCTCAGACCAATTTTTTTTAAAAAGAGAGGGCAGAGTGTCAAAATCTTTATATAATATTTGAAATATGGCTAATACAAAATTCTGTTATGTTAGGATAACATTTATTCAATTTCTAATCAAATGTCCTTGAGATACATCCCAATCATTTGTTAGCTATGTTTGTAGTTAGGTCTATCATATGTGGATTGGAAGAAATAGTGAACGTTTTTCTCTGATATCACAATGTAATGGAAAGATTGCTATTTTTAAAGCAGTCGCCATGTGACGAGTACCGGCTGCTTGACTTTGACAGGAAACTTTCAGTGAGTGGTCAAGAATCATTTCTAAAATCCTTTTCCATTCTCCAGCTTTGCTAACGGATGCCCCTTCATCATGTACACCTCTCATGCTTAATCTGTTTCACAAATCCTGATTGGTTAGACAGCTGGGTTATGGTGTAGTGCGTGATGAAAGACAATCAAAACTCCATAAATTATGAGACATCACCTGTAGAAAATGTAACCCTCCCCCACTGCTACTCAGACAGACTGGGAATAGAAATTACTGTAATCAGGTCAGTGACAAATGTATGTTTCTAACATTTACTATTTCAGATCCCTACAATTAACATTTTTCACAACAGTGTTTCACTGTACATTGTGGGAAAGGATTATATAGTTATATTCAGATGATCCTTTTTGTCTGATACTAAAATGACACAAGAACAGTTTTCCCTCACCATTACAATTGAAATCAATAGAGGAAAATGGGATTTCCTTTTGAAGATGAGCTTGAGCTAATTGGAATAACATTGGCAACAGAAATATCTCAAACAAAACAACAACAACAACAAGAAGATTCCATTTATTGAGTGCCTTTCACGTCGGGAGGACGTCCCAAGGCGCTGTACAGTTGGGTCAGGACCTGAGCAGGGGGGAAATGGTCAGGGTGAGGGGAGGGAGGGAGCGAGGAGGGGGTAGAGAGTCGAGAGGGGAGCTGAAGGCTCGGTCAAAGAGAAAGGTCTTGAGACCGGCCTTGAAGGAGGAAAGGGAGGAGGCGGCGAAGGCACTGGGGGATAGAGTTCCAGAGCCTCGGGGCTGAGAGGCTGAAGGCCCGGCCACCGATGGTAGGGTGGTTGGGGCGGGGGATGTGGAGCAGACCGGAGCCAGAGGAACGGAGGGTACGGGCAGGTAGGTAGGGGGATAGTAGGTCGGAGAAACATAAGACAGTGAGCGGCAAAATAAGAAAGGCTTCACTGATCCTCACAAATGTGTTTCTCCTAGAAGGCAAAACTTCTTTCAAAGAAGTCAAGATGATCTTACCATCATCAGTTTTCTTTTCTTGGCAATTTACTTCCCCTTCCTCTCTCCCAAATTGTGATCAATTAGCTAAATCAGCAAAGAATGTATGAATTTTAAACCGCAAAAAAAGGCAGAAGCAAAATAATTCACTTCACGAGTATCATAATAGTAGTCTGAACGGGTGTCGAGGATGGCATGTAAAGTCGTGGCATTTTGTAAAACAATTGTATCGTCACATTGCACTCACAAAGCGAATAGACAATGCAAGATTATCGTTTCACTGCTGTCATGAACGACATTATGTAAAACGTTCTTGAATAATTCTGCTTCTCTTTAGAAGAGGAAAAAAAGGACTCAAGGGCAACTGGATTAATGAAGGATAGATAGAATCATCTTGAAACTAGTAGGATACCATTGCCAACTATGTGAAACAGTTCAGTACGTATTAAGGTTTGTTTCTTTTAACAGCCTTGCACTATAAGGCCCTGAAATTTCAGCTGGCCTTTGCCTTCCACAGATCAGTGGAACATTACAAATTCAGTCATAATTTGAAGGACAATTTATACTATACTTAAGAACCGCAGAAAACAGCTTCAGAATTAAAACTGAATTTAAGATTGTTCCACAATTCTGCATGACCTTAAATCTTTAAGGCAAAACTGTCTTCCAGGCTCAGACTAGGTGGAATTTCAGATCCATTGATGGAGACTGTCACAAATCAATTCATTATCTTAGTGGCACAGGTGGTCGAGCATTTGTCTTAGAAGCCGATAGTCATGGGTTTGAATCTCAAAGCTGCCTGTTTCTCCACTTTAGCTAAAACTGCTTTGGGATTGAATTTTCCCAATTCTCAGCTGCCTGATAGACGGATTGCTCAAGTACTTCATTATGCACATGATGGGGGCTGGTATAAAGTTAATGAAAGGATATTGCTATGCAATTAGTCAGTGTTATTGTTGTCTGAAATCTATACAATCAGATCAGTGAACAAAACTGAGAGGAGGATCATTATTTGGACATCACCGTATTTTCATTGCATTAAATGTGCCAATCTCCTTGTCACCTCCAGAATAGCTTCACTTAACGGGATAGGTGCTCAAAATATAAAACAGTGAGAGAATGCAAACCCTTCAATCGTGGAGTGAAATAAATGAAGAATAAATCCTCACATTTGATATATACAATTTCAAGATACCAAGAGTAACAAAGCTGGTCTAATAAATTAAATTGAAAACTATACTACCCAACTTCCATCAGGCTAATATCTAACACATTTTGTCTTTCAACTGGAACTTTAATTTATAATTTTTAGACGCTGAGTTAATGTACTAATGGCTTTAACCAGCAGACTCAATTATCGGGACATGACTTTTGTGACTTCAGCCGAGCTGAGCTGAGGGTCTACAGTCCAATTCTGCCCTCTAGTCTTATATATTATCTCAATGGGGTAGGGGAAATTTGATATGCATACTTATCTTATTGGCTGGTCAGACAGCAAGATCGGTGCTAGTTGTAGCTTAGTGCACAGACTTCCTCACCCCTGCCTACTTTTCTGGTTTCATAGCAAAGGGAGGAAACGTTACGTCTGTATTTTTACATTTTTTTCCTTTGAAATACCTGGGACTAAGAGGCAATACCTGAAGTTAATTAACAAATATTTTCTTCTTTAAACCTGACTAAACAACGATTAGGCATGGATCAATTTTGTAGTTACCATTTGTCAGCTACGAATCATAGAATCAATCCATTCTAACGGTTCGAATGCTTTGATCAAACCAACACACATACACATGCATGTACATATTGCACATACACACACAAACTTGTAAAAATGCGCATACGCTTCATACTGATGTCCACTACCAACTGGAATTGAGCAGATAAACAAAACTGTACTTCTCTGGTCTCATACTATGTGGAGTTACTAGGTTACTATATACAATAGTTGAAATTTCAATCATTGAAAAGTTTAACACCAAAAACCAGCGTATTTTAGAGATGAGGTCAGAGTTCATCTGACAATAAGATGAAATAGTAAATCTCTAAAAATACAAGGATAAGGCCTTCTGGTAAATTTGTAATTCAATGTTATAGTTCTAATGATGTCATTTAGATTTTGCAATGGAATACCTACACTCTTGAATGGTACACTTAAGAATGAATGTTTCACTAGGGCAAAATAAAGATATCTGTAAATTCAAATTCAGAGTTATTTGCATATTATTTATTCATATCATAATTGTTAATTAACAGTTAATTATAACATTTTAATTTGCATCTCAATTTCATACAGCATGTTTGTTAATGGTTGCACATTAAGGGTTCAGCGCTTGCAGTCATACAAACATTAGTAAAACCACTAATGTTTTAAGTGAGAAAAGTTATTGCAGATACAATTCTTTGAGGCCCACAACAGGATCACTGTATAAAGTAAAAAAACTTTTAAAAAATCCATAAATGCAACATGCACAAAATTTGATTTGTATGTATTAAATTAGTTTCATTTAACTGTATTCTCTCCTGTGCAACAATCGCTGAACTAAAATTGGTCACTCATGTCCTTTCTGCTGTGTGCAAATTGGTTGCTGCAATTGTCTACAAAACACACAGTCACTACACTTTACAATATATCCTATGAAGCACCTTGAGACATTTCAATGATGTGAGAAGGTGTTATATCAAGTGCAAAGATTATCATTATTCTTATTATAATATATCCCAATCCTCTATTGTTTTGTTGCTTTCATTATCTTACTCTAGCTACACTTTATTTTTTTCAAGAAAGGAAATAACCACGTCAAATTTGAATGCAGATCTTTTAGATCTCCTCTTAAGAAATCATTTGCCTTACCTCATTGAAAAGGATGAACATAGCCTCTACTCATGGAAGTAAGAAGACTGTAAAATTGTATCACACTTAAAAATTGCCAGTGGTTACAAACCAACAGATTTTAGTTTTGAAGAGGGCTAGGTTTGTAGCTTTGATAATAACAGTTATGAAAATCTCAGGAAAGAAAATCCTGCTCATATAGATCTTACCTCGTTCTACATAAAAGAGTCCTGTGAAAATAACTGAATATGTCAGAAGCCCATTTGGTCTACTTGGAGCTGTCCATTTTACTCTGACTGAACGAGCCCCTTCAGAAGCTACGGTGAGTAAAATACTTCCCATTGGTGCAGATTCCAGAGTTCGAGCATCAACCTAAGTACAAGAGAATCGAGTCAGTAAATTAAATCAGCAACAATTTTATGCGAACAGCAAACAATTTTCCAAACAAGTAGTTACGGCCCTACACCTGAAAAGTTTTCAGAAAAAAACTCATTTGCACCTTATGTAATCCACAGTAAATTGAAAGCTCATTAGAACTAGTCTAATTTGTGAATGTTTTAATGATGGAAAGGGTAAGTCAATTAAATTTAACTGCTCAGCTAAATTAAAAAATAGGTATAAAATTCAGAGCAAGTGAGCAGCTGAACTTTCACAATGATTGTGAAAAGTAATACAAGTTTTTCGGGCAAAACTACGTAAATTTTATAACTTTATGGTCAAAATATATTTCTGCACACCTTTATGGTCAGTAAGGTGAGGATGGTAATGGTGGGACGTAGAAAGCTAATCACTGGAAGATTAGGTATTGCACAATATAGATACAATGTAAAATTCTCTCACTGGAGTGCCTGGACTCTCAACTTCAGAAAAAGAAGCTCAGACTATATCACTGTGAAATTCAATTTCCCTGCACCATTTGTCTTTTCCAGATCAAATTCTTCCAGACCAGCCCCCACGCTTGTCTAAAACTACTTGTACATCAGGGTGGTCCAACTGGCAGCCCACGGGCCAATTTCATCTACTCCCCCACCTCCATATCATCTAGCCCACCCACTCACTCAATATGTTTCTGGAAGGGATGGGAAACATAAAAATATTGTTTGTGCGGCCTGTGGACTTTTCTCAAATAGAAATAGAAATGGCCCTCAGCAACCAAACGATTGGACCACCCTGTTGTATGTAAATGTTGAACTATTATTGAAAATTGAATCTATGTCATGTCAACAGCTCAAGGAGTGAGTGCAAACCCAATACAATGCACCTTCATAAGAGGAAATAAATGACTCACTAAATTGAAGGTTTATCAATTTGTGTGTAGGGGGGTGGGGTGGGATTGTTCTCTTTATTCCTTTGTAATGAAACCATTAAAATGTTTAGAACCCATCAGAGGGAGGAAACTTCTGTGAAGAATTCTAATAGTGGCAAGGTATCATAAGTGTTCGAATCATCAACAAGAAGAAGGAAATCTATTTGGTTTGGAGATCGCCCACAAGTGGTCTTAAAACAATAACATTATCTAGTTCGAATTTGCGATTGTCCTGTGTGCAGTGGGAATTGTTTTAAAAGAAGACTACTTTCTTACACAGCAACAAAAAAAGGAATAATGTCATTCAAATATTCACTATTTGAGGTGTGAAGCGATTCCTCAAAACCAACATGACATGACATGACTGGGTCATTTTACCAAATCAATAAAGAAATGCTTTTTTTTAAAAAAAATAAGACCGGCCGTAAAAATAGAATGTGTCATGCTATCAGTTAGCTGCAAGTAGCTACCCTTTGTAGTTTTGAGTGGTAATTGGAGTATTCCAAACATTGCCATTCTCCTGTCATGGATTTCAGGGTTTAGTGAACTTACTTTCAAATTGAACCAAGCTAATACAAAATGTGGTATGGATTTGTATGAGGCTGAACTTGAAAGGAACCAATGTACTGATGTGCACATTTTCAATAATGAGCCAAACAAAAACTGTGTTTTTTTACCATTGTGTAAAAAAAAGCGTGAACAGGAATGGCTGTTATTTGTAACTTTATATTTATAACTTCTAAGCTTCAATTCATTTCAGAGTCAATTATTAATTTGATTTCAAAATCACCTCTTGGTGGCGGTTTGGGGATTAGGACTCAAAATCTAATTGATGCTACAAACGTGTATGTGTACTGTACTTTTTGTGTTGATTCAAGTTAGCAGAGGTGATCAGTGTCAGCGCATTTAGAAAGCAAATACATAGATCTTTGGCAGACGTAACTGAGCACTTGATAGAAAGAGAGGCAAGACAATAGAGTGTGGTATGTAGATGGGTCCTAATGGCCTGTTCTCAGCCTATACATTCTTAAATGGACAGCATAAAAGTGGAATTAATGATAGAATGGGCAGGGAAGCTGGAAACAGAAGCCCACATGAAAGAGGAGGGAAAAAATGGGAATGGGGGAGAGGCTCAAGTGGAGTGGAAACACTGGCACCGACAAGTTGGGCCAAATGGCCTATTTTGGTGCTGCAGAATCTATGCAGTTCTACATAATTTTATGCTCTGTTCTTGAGGTTAAGTTAATAACCACAGATGGTATATTTGCATCAACAAAGTAGGAAACATTCTGAGGAACAACAACCTTAGTAATGTTGTTAAAAGTAGAAAAAGGCAAGAAATTTTCTAGAAATTGAAAATATACACGCCCCCTTCAAGTATTCATCTCTCCAACCGCCTTAACTCAATTGAAATTTCACGAATCCTGAGCAATATCCTGAAACTGAATGTTTGGTCAGTGTAGGCACCTCTTCACACTGGTTCAATTTAATTTGGACATGGGTTCACTCATCTTTTGCAGCATGCATCAAAGCCTTTGTAGTTCTAAAACTTCAAAACTCATTTAATCCTCTGCTGTGATGGAAGTTAAAGTTGGTGAAGTATTTTTTAATGTTGTTCTGGATAAATGGTGATGTCAGTTTGGATTACCTGTGTGCATGCGTAAAGTACCTGTAATTAATAAGATTTCATTCCACAGGTAAAAAAAGCTTTAGAAGTTCATTACTTCAAACCGTAGGTTCAAATGATTTATGTCTTGGTTCTGGCTGCAGCCAGACCCAAAACATGCAACAAAGAAAGACACAAAGTATTTTAGAAATATGCAATACATATCACATTATCTATTAATAAACTATGAGTTCTCAGAATAGCAGTTAAAAACAAAATGAGCAGGAGTGATATGGTTAGCAGGAAGATATGGAGCAAAATCCAAAAGGTGTTACTTTCCCAAATTCTTATCCCCCTTTATAACCAAAGAAATTAAACTACCAGCTGAAAGCTGGTATATATGATTGCTTTGCTTGCAAGTGGATCTTAAACTTTCCTAATTGCTGACCAATGGACAGACCCAGTAAATACTGTGCATTCAAAAGGTAGGATATTATTGATTTTTGATCAATATTTAAATTTTAAAAGAATTCCCGAGATATTCTCAAGCTCTGCATGTTATCTATGAAGTTCATCAGAAAAGAGAATCTAAGGTATCTGTTCTAACTGTCTGTTCCTGATAATGCCTCAGAGGCTAGAAAAAAACAGTGGATGGGCTGAATGGTATTTTATTATCCTGGAAATTTCTAAATTTTTTTCTCAAACTACTTTTTTTCCCTTCTATTATCAATGGCTCTCAGAGTTACAAAAAGGAATAAGTTTGGTTTGCAATCAATTGCTACTGCATTTCGCTCACAAAACATACAAAATTATAGTCAATTCCCTTTACAGTACATTCTGTGAAGCGCTTTAAGAAGTCTCTATATCAAATGTAAGGATTATTATTATTATTGTTGTTAATAGTTAGTTTAACTTATATACATTACATATCCTCAAGATCCTCGTCCTCTCCTTCAAGGCCATCCATGGCCTTGCCCCCTCCTACCTCTCTGACCTGCTGACTCCCTACCAACCTGCCCGCTACCTCCGTTCATCAGGCTCTGGTCTGCTCCATGTCTCCTGCCCGACCCACCCTACCATCGGTGGCCGGGCTTTCAACCTCTCTGTCCCCAAACTCTGGAACTCCATCCCACAGTCCCTTCGCCTCGCTTCCTCCCTTGCCTCCTTCAAGGCCGTTCTCAAGACCCTTCTCTTCGATTGCGCCTTTGGTCGCCCTCCCACCTCTCTGCCTTCCCTCACCCCTACACCACCTCTCCTCCCCCATGCTCGGGCCCCGACACCTGACTGTTCAGTGCTTTGGGACGTCCTCCTGACGTGAAAAGTGCTCTATAAATGTAATTTTGTTGTTGATATGTGAAAAACAAAGAAATATAAAACTAGGAAATAATGTTAGATGACAAATTACATTTTTAGCGAGTTACAAAAAAATGTGTTGCATATTACAGATAGAGAGCACTTTTGGAACAACAAAATGACATTTGTATTGCGCCTTTCACGTCGGGAGGACGTTCAGTGTCCGTGATAATAATTGTTGTTCAAGAAGGTTTGACATTTGATGAAATATAATGCTTTGCCAGATGGTCTGATTTTACCGATATGAATCCGCATCCTTTGGTTATCCAGAGCCATATGACATTCTGTGTGCTAAGTACATTTACACTGAGGTACTTACCGAGGGACCTATTGCACAGCCCTTTGCTGTACAAGCCTGAACATGAAAGGTGTGTAGGCTCCATGGCATTAGATCACTAACATAGTAGCTAAATAAGGAGGATGAGTTTTCCACCAACACTCCATTCATAAACAGCCCGTAAAGTACGACGATACCTTAAGACAAAAAAGGTAAAAATAGGTGTCATAGTTAATGCGTTACTTTCTTGAGGTGAATACCTCAAAAGTGAATACCCTGACTTGATAAACTCATCGTGTTTCTGTCACAAGCCTGAATTTTTCATGCATATCAGTGATATCAGCTGGTTGAGGCCCCTGGAACGAATAAAATGAAACTAAGAAATAAAAGCGAAATCTTCCCCAACCACAATACAAATGTTTAAAAAGCACTTGATACTCAGGAGTGAATACCAGGAAGTGGTCTTGTCTCACGGTTCAGATGATCAGAAACACTTTGAGCTATGCCCCTGTGGTTTGAAATGCCATCTGAACTAATCAATTAGATTATCACTTCCAAATCACTCCTGGGTATCCCATTCTTTTCCACAGAATTAGATTAATATATTAAATAAGTAATGGTTACATTTCTTTCTAGTTATGTTCATAGGAGATCTTCAATAGTGCTCAGGTTAGTGGCCGTGTGGCATTCAAACAAAAATACAAATGACTGAGCAGAGCTGGTTACAGTAAAACGTGCTTCTATTGCTTGTTTAAAATGGAATCATTGTTAATTATAAAACTTCCAGAAGTCTGCAGAAAAATGTGAATTTTGGTTCCTGAGAGAAAACGAAAAAGGTTGTTTTTTTTAAATGTGCTGCAAGTGACTACTTTTGTGTGTTCTTGTGATATTAACATTTTTATTGAAAAAAAGTTACTAAATGAGACGGCTAAAAGAACAACAAACAACTTGGATGTATATAGCGCCCTCCACGCTGGATGGTGTCTCAGAGCGCTTCACAGTAGCGGATCCTGGGGCCGAGCCAGGGCGAGGGAGAGGAAGGTGACCAAAGGCGCGGTCGAAAAGAAAGGTCTTCAGCCTCGGCCTGTCTCAACCTGAAAGTAGGAAGAGAGGGGGCGAGGCGAAGGGAGAGAGGAAGGGAGTTCCAGAGCCTCAGGACATAGTGGCTGAAAGCACGGCCGCCGAGGGTGGAGCGGAGGACTCTGGGGACAAGGAGCAGGGCAGCCCCGGTGGAACGAAGGCAACGGGCACTGTCGTGAGGAGAGAGGAGGTCAGAGAGGTAAGGCGGTGCAGAGAAATGGAGGGATTTGAAGACAAGGGTGAGGATCTTGAAGTCGATCCTCTCTGGGACAACCCTGTGCATTCTATTTTTACGCCACAATAGGAATGTAGATTACAAGGTTACAAATCCATTGTAAAATAATAGGAATTTAGTTCAGGGATATTTCTTCCACTATTTGCCACTTTTCCAACAGTAGCAGTTGCAGTACTATATCTGTATCAGTACTATATTCTTATCCTCTATATTCTTCACTTTGTTCCCTGCTGGTCCAGATTCCAGGAATGTATGCATCATTGCAAGAGTTCATCTATATCCTACCATTCCATGCACTGCTTTCTTCCACCTCCGCCTCATTGTCTGTCTCTGACAATATCTTACCTCAAAGCTCCCGAAACCCTTATCCATGCCTTTGTCACCTCTCGGCTGGACTACTCTAATGCCCTCCTCGTCGGTCTCCCCTCCTCCACTATTCACAAAATCCAGCTCATTCAAAACTCTGCCGCCCGCATTCTCACCCGCACCAAACTCCGCACCCCGATTACTCCAGTCCTTGCCAAACTCCACTGGCTCACTGTCACAGAGTGGATCGACTTCAAGATCCTCACTCTAGTGTTTAAGTCCCTCCATTCCTTGGCACCTCCCTATCTCTCTAAACTCCTCTGTCCCCACACCAGTAACCGCTGCCTCCGGCCTCCTCTGCGTCCCCCGAATCTTCCGCTCCACCATCGGTGGCTGTGCCTTCAACCACTATGTCCCGAAACTTTGGAACTCCCTCCCTCAAACCTTTCGCCTCGTCCCCTCCTTCCCTATCTTGAGGTCGTGCCTGAAGACCTTCCTTTTCGACCACGCCTACATTCAGCTTCCCCCTCCCCCTAGCACGGCCTTGGGCTCCACCATTGTTAAGTGCTCTGAGATCCCGCCCTGCGTGGAGGGTGCTATATAAGTGCAAGTTGTTCTTCTTGTTGTTCCATCAGTATGCCAACATACTGAGCTTAACAATAGTTTTGAAACAATATACAGACTTAATCTCTTCAAGAGTAAGGCACAGTTTTGGAACTTTTCTAAAAATTCCCCCAATCACTTAATAGGTTTATTCATAAACTGGCAAGAATTTATTGACTAAATTGATTAAATCTTCATTGTATTGTTTTTCTTCTCATCAAAGATATCCACTCTCGTCAAGGAAATTGATGGCACAAATAGAGCAGGAAAATAAAGAAAACATGACTACCTTGTCAGCCCAGCTTTACTGATCGAAATTTTGAGGAACTTTATTGATAAATTCTAAGTGATTAGGATATATTTTTCCTAAAAGATACCCACTTGCTGCAGATTCTATTGTGAATTATTGTAACAACTCCCTTCCAGAATAATACTGAACTGTTTCCACATATGCTTCTATATTTACTTACCTTGAACTCATCGGTGCTCATTTTAAATTGGACTTAATTTAAGATATTTTGCTTAGGTTTATTATTTACAGTTCTTTAGTCTTGAAAACATTAAATCTATATACGTTATCCAAGCAACTGTAAAGATTAGTGTGTTGGCATACTGAGGGAATGGTAGGGTACAGTTTAACTTGTGCAATTGCGCATTCAGGGATGCCTGCTCTCAGCTGGGCCAGCAGGGAATGAGGATGGGAAACCAAAGGATTAGAATCATAGAAATGTAAAGACCATTCAACCCATCGATTCTGCATCACCTTTCAAAACAAGGTGTTCAGTCAATCCCACTGCTCTGCCTTACCCTCATATCCCTTAGTTAGTCCAAATGTTATCTTATGCACATTTCAGCAGCTATTTGCACAGTAGCAATGATGGAGAAGAAGAATCCCCAGTTTCAGCCAATGAACGTAATGTGGTGATGTGTGAGGTTGGAGAATACAACCTAAACAAAGGATTCATCAAACAAAAATGTTGCCTCCAAATACACAGTCACTACACTTCACAGTAAAATCTCAACAGCAAGATAAGGCACTATATCAAAAGCAAAGATTATTAAATTACTTTTTGAAGCATTTAACTCAATATTTTCTTCAGGACAACCTGAACTGTCAATGTCTGTATACCACGCCTTGATTTCCAGCAAGAAGTCCAATTCTAATGAAATCACCCTGGCGGCTATATTTTTTCCATGTAACATTCTCTCTCATCCCTCTCCTTTCCACCGGCTCCCCCAACAACCACCTTTTTCCCCATTACACATACACAGATGGAATGCCTAGCATTTGTGTGGTACTCCACCTAGCAACCTGGCTAAAATTTCACAAAACTCACCCAACTGTAGAAAGGGAAGTCTGAATGACAGGAAGGCCTGGGAGTGAAAACTCATAACCTTCTGGTAGGAAGTCAAGGACTCGAAGCTTTGTTCACCTCTTTAATCTCAGATATTACTGACAAATATTATTGTTACGTCATTTTTTTCTACATCTGTACTCATTCAGTAAGCTGTTTCTCTTCATTATTTACCCCTCCTCGCCCCCTCAAAATTATACCATACTTGCCCCCTACCCAGAATTTCTAGATTTAGTGAAACAACCCCACACCCCATAAAAAATCTTTGTATTGAATCCGTGCTTTAGAATGTTTAACTTAAGTGTTGAAATGCTGTTTCGATCTAAAGCCACTGTGCAAGAAATACCAATTGGATTCAATATTTTGAACTTGAAATATAAACTATGAATTTGTGCTCACAACAGACATGGAAAGTCAAACTGAAAGAAGTAACACACACACACACACATCTCTCAGATGTAGTTCTTCACAACAGTCAAAAGGGAGCACTTTTGAGCCACTTAAACACCAAACTGCAATCTCTAAGCTATATAAAATGATGCTATCTCAGGAGTTTTTTATGTGTTAAAATGATCATTAAAAATTAAGTGCCACATATAAGTTGTCATCGAGAATATTAATTTACCTTTAACTAATCATGTTTTTTACTTCAGGCAAGGAAACGAAAATTCACTCACCGTTTGGGAACTCTGGTTCTGTCCACGAGATATTAAAGGAATCGGAGGAATAAGACTTGATGTTGGGAACAGGAACATTTTCTGGGGTGCTCTCTTCAGTCTTGGCAATGCTAGCTTTACTCAGCGTACATCCTCCTCCGTTACAGATCTGACAGTGCAAGTGGGAGGGAGTGGGGAGGGGAGAAAATCAGTGACTACATTTTTAATCAAGTTTCAACCTCGACTAAAATTTTCTTGAGTAACTGAGATGAAAATAACTGTGAAATCTTTAAAGGCTATAGTTTTGCCCACAAAATATACAGTCAATTCACTTTACAGTATATTCTGTGAAGTGCTTTGAGACGTCTCGCAGGTGTCATAAGGTGCTATGTTAAATTCAAGGATTATTATTATTACATATACATTATATATTTTATATATAGTCAAAACATTAACCTGCCTCTTCCCTTCAGGTCCTGATCACCCCTCTGTACATTTCCAGCATTTTCCGTTTTTATTTCAAATTTTGCAGATTTTATTTCAAACCTTTTTACCCTTGCAACCCAACAAATTGATTCTCTGTCCCTCCATTCCACTTCCAGAAATGCCAGTTCTGGAGAAGTTCTATTCCAGTTTTCATCCTATTTCCCCACCCCCCACACCCCTTTGTCAGTCAGTCCACCTGTCCTGTTCACCTTCACTGTTGCCCCAGTGGCTCCTCTTTGTCTTTGATTGTGTACTTGCAACAACTCATTTTCACAGCCACGTTTCTTTCCACAGTACCTGCCTCTAGCATGGACTTGTACCTCATAGATTCCAGATTAAAATTCACCCTTTCAGGTCCACCGATTTACAAAGTAGCTGCTTCATTAGTGTACATTTTAAAAACTGCCACGGCTCATTTTTTAAATACAGCAATCCATTTTTTTTACAATGATGGAAATTCTGATGGCTGTTGGGAGTACAATCGATTGTTTTTGAAATCATCAGAAATTTTCAATAATTCTGTTTGCAACATATTCTTTGGTGTTGGTTTGGGGAGATGGGAGGAAGGGATTAAACAATAGAATGAGATTAGTTGACAGCGAAGAGAAAATCGTGCCTTTGTTTGTGTTGTGTCGTTTCTTTCGGAGTAGGGACAATGCACAAGATGTTACTGTACAAATCGTGTATGCTTTAGTTTTGTGAAAAGCTATATTGTGATGCATTAAGGAAACAGTAATCTAATGGATTTTAATACCAGAGAACAATAGGGGATATGGCACTTTGTCACCAGTGGATCAAGATAAAACACAGAAATAGCAAATAACATGGATGCTAATGACTCGCCCCAGAAACATCAAAAATGGCCCAACATATCATTCTACCAATAAATCTATCATTTGCACACTGTTACATCTAGTAAAGCATAATGACAAACCTCATCACTTATAACATAAGACTTTTTTTTGTATTTTTATTGTGGATTCCGTTTTCACCCAACCTGTAAACTTTCTTCTCAACCAGTTCTCTTAACAAAGCATTCACGTGTAAAGTTATGCTTACGCAGTCAACCCATAAATAAAATAAAGTCTCAGTGTTTCATTTTAAATACAGGACAACATGCAGCTTGCAATGCCTTGCACAGCCGTAACTCATTGAAAAGCTGAAATTAAGTCATAAAATGCAACAGCAAAACTCAAGTGGTTAATTAACATTATCTCAAACTTGACATGCAATACTGCCTTGGAATGTACTCGGGAGAGTGTTATTTATTTTGAGTGCAAAGAATTAAAAATTTTGGAACTTTTTTTATTTAACCTTTTTCCCATTTTTACTACTTTTCTTTTTATATCAGTAGCAATATTATGATGGACAGGACGGGACGGTAGGCTACCACAACTGAATCGCATACTGTGACACAGTACTGCATTGACTTGGGTGATTTGACAAGCAGTGATAATGCGGTGTGTTTAATTGAATGATACAGGTCGGTGACGTAATTTATACATGTCATAAAGTTATATCTTCCTACTCCCCCGCCCAAATTTTTTTGATTTTGTTACAATGTATTCTGCAGCTAATTATGTCAAAAGATGAAACGGGAAAAATAACAATTGTGAGGTCTTTCTTTAAATGTAATCAAAAATTGTGAAAAAAAATTGCCTCTGCATTTTTGTATAATATTAATTGCTTCAAATCATTCTCATCTGACAATATCCTTATTCTGTACTGAAATCTGTTATGGTGGATGGAGGAGCTGATTACATGGTTAGTCTCGGGGGCCCTCAATGTCGCCTCAACTCAAGCAATGTGCCTCTCCGATCGGAGGGGGAGTGGGGAGAGGGGCAAATGGGTGGGTCTGTCCCGTCACATCCTACTGCAATCATCACCTGCCTAAATGGGGCCATCATCCAGGCCAGGTTTCAAATGAGCTTAGGTCCTGAACCAGCCAGGAATTGTTGCTTCCCGAAGATCCATTTAATAGATGTCACACTGGCTACCCGGAAATTTCAAGACACAACACATGCCATATCTGCTACAGTGCAAAAACTCTTTCAATAAGGGCTTCACAGGGAGATAGAATCGTTTTTAGAAACAAGCCTTGCCTTTTTTTTAGCAGCGGTGATCGGACGGCTGATGTCACAACAATATTACACCGTATTCATTTACAAAATGTATTGTAAAATTTAAAGCGATGAATTACCAAGCCTCTAACTCAGCCTTGGGTCAATAATTGCTTGTGTCAATAATCAGTGCTCTTAACCCGGAAAGCTAAGCGTTACTTTCGCCTTGTCATGTTAAAATTCAACAGAATTTGCCGTCAAAATTTTAAAGTAACCAAAAACATCCCTACCACAGCAGTGCAGTGCAATCCATAACCCATATCAGTAGTTGTAATATGATAACAAGCCTACGATCAAGAATATAACTCTGAATGCATAATTGCCTGTAACTAATCGCAGCAAAATTATTGTTTTATTCTTGTAGCAACCATCAGCTGTGGTCACACCACAGCTGACAGAACAGTTCACCGAATGTTATTAATGGGTAAACAAAGCTAAAATTCAAATGATGTATTGTGTATCTCTGTGATTCCAAAGAAAAAAATATGCAGCATTGGGTAGCCTTATGGCAAGTAACATGGGAGAAATCTCATCATTATGGAAAGTTGTAACAGGTTCTCACACACATATTCACATACTCTCAGGTCGTTTGTAAACTTCTTTTGGGATGGCTCACTAATAAGTGGCATAAGTGAAGAGGAAGGATTAAAAATAATATACAGGATATTGTAGACACATGTAGCTGCGAGCATGGACAATGTTCTGTGAAATCTTCTCATATTTAACAATGACCTCGTGTTAGACATAACTGGATTAGAACTTAGATTTAGTACATTTTTCACAAAAGCTAATCTCAAGCTTAGCTGGGCCTATGAAGTGTGCATCAATATGTTTTGAGACCACTCCAGACACGCAAACAAGTAGTCCATCTGATAACAAAATGTGAAATTATGCACATTGAGAAGCCTGATTGACCTTGAATTTAAATAAGTTTGGAAAAAAAGGATCTGAAATATAAATAGACAAAGTCACAAGAACATAGGAATGTGCAAGGACAGAATAGATCATTGCAGTCATTCTGGCTGGTGTCATTTTCAAATGCCATCTCTTCCGATCTCACATATAATTCTCTTCCCTGGCCTCAATCCCCTTTTGCCATCAATAACCTATCCAATTCCCTCTTGAAACTGTCCACACGATCCACTTTACCCCATCTCCCTGGAGAAAATGTTCCTTATCTTAACCACCCTCTACATAAAATAGTTCAATCCAAATGGTCCATTCATCCTCCTCCTTCATAGTTTGAGACTGTGACCCTTGTTGCAGACCTCTTGACCATACTGACTAAGTAATAAGTCTTCTTTTTCAAGTACCTGCTTATTGTAGAGTTGAAGTTCCATAATTATAGTCATTGGGAAGAATGACTTATATATGTGAAGAAGCTAATAATCAAATAATCAAACAAAATAAAATATACATGAATTTTCCTCTGTTCGTATGTCGCCCTACCTTACTATTTCTGAATAAATATGCATTTTAGTCCTACAGCTGTGATAAACAAAACCAATGGGTTACGTTAGTGAATAATCCACTCCTAAGATGCATTACTCATCACCAGATTCATTGAGAATCAATTTTACTGGGAATGTCAAACACTAATTATATTTAAAAAGGAAACTGACCATGGCATTATATACTTGTTTTTTATATATATATTGATTATGAAGTAATTTATTTCACATTGCTAAAATATCTCAACTTGGATCCTGGGAAATTATGCACTCTAATTTAGTTAATCAAGTTGAAGTGAGGGATATTATATCGTACATACCCAAACTGCTAGAGATTATATTAAATTATTAAGTCAAATCACGTATTGGATGGTTACAATCAAAATGTTCTCTTCAACACTGTATATGATAAAATATGAACACAGGTGTCAGCTGGCTCAGTTGTTAGCACTCTCGCCTCTTAGTCAGAAGGTTGTGGGTTGAGGCCCCACGTAAGGACTTTTAGATCATAGTAGACTGACACTCCAGTGCAAGGGTATGCTGCATTGTCAGAGGTACTTTCGTTTCGATGAGACGTTAAATCGAGGTCACAACTGCCTGTTCCGGTAGACGTTAAAAATACATTCACTACACTTTACATCTTGTAAATCTTGTGAATAACTTTGAGACATTTAGATGACATGATAATAATAATGAAATAATATTCTTGGATTTGATATAGCTCCTTATCATGTCATTGGGATGTCTCAAATTCTTCGTAGGATCTACTGTAAAACGGATTGACTGTATTTTGCAGGCAAAACGCAGAAGCCAGTTGCGCACAGCAAAGTCCCACGAAAAGCCACGGAGTGATAAGCCACTATATCAAATGCAAGCTTATTATTATGTCATATACTGTATTTTAAATGAAACAAAAATTATTAAATTGACTTCCTATCAAATTATGTTTCCTACGTATCCATGAGTAGGAAACCGTTATTTTCAAACTTTAAAATCAATGAAAATCTCTGTGAAACTTGATTTTATATTTAGCTCTTCTGTCTCCATTCTGTATTTATCAGAAAATGGTAGGTTGCACAATACTAGATGTAGTATTCTTTATTCAAATTATT